CCCCTCCGAGAGCATCACCCGCACCCCCTCCGAGAGCATCACCCGCATCCCCTCCGAGAGCAACACCCGCATCCCCTCCGAGAGAAACCCGTGCCGCGGCGGGGACAGGGCGGGAGGTGACAGCGATGCGCGGCGGGTGCGGGGCGGGCAGCGCTGCGGTTGCCCTGTCGGTGCTGTCTGTCGGTGCTGCCTGTCGGTGGTTACGGTGCTCGGAGCGCGGAACAGCCACCGCGGGCTGCGGTCGGGCGGGCGGGGAGAGCCCCGCATCCTCGGGCATCCTCGGGCATCCCGCGGGGCGCGGGTCCCTCGGACGGGGACGGTGCGAGGGGTTCGCGAGGGTCCCGGAGACGGGTCGGGCTGTGCCGGGCTGGGGTCTGCGGGGTTCGCTGACCTGTCCTGGCAGGAGAGCTCTCCTCTCCATCACCCGCGAAGCAGCGCAGGTGTCTCGGCTCGATGCGCTCACGCCAGGGGTCTGTTTTTTCGCGTCCCCCTAAGGCGGGTGCTCGCGGCGCTCGGAGTCCCGCTCTCTTCATTTTATGGAACTTTTTGCTGCTGGATCGCTCGAGTGCAACGATCCCTTGAGGGTACGGAGCCAAAGGATGCCGACGGCCCCTCGCGGTCCCGCATCCCGCACTCCTCGGCGGCTGGAGCTGCGCTTCCCCGGGCGTTGGAAGTGCCGGGGGGGGTGAGAAGGGCGCCGGTGTCCTTTTAGGAGACAGGTACCTGCTGGTGGTGAGGCAGTGTCCGCGCTCGGAGCCCGCAATGGTGTGTTCGTTACAAAGGGTTTATTTTGGCACAATGGAGCAATCAGACTTTGCGGATCCTAAAAGCTTCCTCTCGCTGCTCCCGCACCAGCCCCTCCTTGGAGCTCTCTTGGCGTGCCTGTCGTGTCTGTGCTTCCATTTTCCTTTGTATGGACTTTATTGGCTCCGGTCTCTGCGTGGGGAATCAGCCACAGGTAGCCAGTGGCTTGTGACACCTCGCCACAGGTCCTGGAAGCTCAGTGGCCACCTCCCTTGCCGCGATCTCCCCGTTGAACCCACTGACTGGTCCAGCAGGGGGAAATCAGAGAGGCTTTTGTGTGGTGGACAAAATGTGACCTTTTGGGGGAGAAAAAACAACCAAATAGGGAAAAAACCACCCCACCAGTTTACAAGGCAGTGATAAATCATGAGAATAAAATAAGAAATATTTGCTATTTTTTTTTTCTAATGCTTTGGTCAGGAAGCACCTGCACAAGGGTGGGGGGGGGTGTGTGCTCAGATCAGCGGTGTGAGGAGCTTGGGGGCCTTTCGTGTTCCACACCTGGGAGAGCTGGGGCAGCTCCTGCTCTGGGGGAGAAGTGTGCTCAGGATCGGGCCCGACTGGCATCTGAAATTCCACCCCACGGAGCAGGATGATGTTCTGCTGCTGTTAAATAACAAATTTCAGCTGTTTAATTAAAACCTGCCACGCAGGACGTTTCAGGTTCTGCACTGGGGCAGAACCTGCTTTCGGGAGAACAGTGCTATTTGTTATTTTTCCCAGCAGTTTGGTGTCCGTGGGCTCTCAGTGGTGCTGCTGCCTGGTGTTTACTCGTAGCTTTGGCCGAAGCGGTTAAACCTCAGTTCCAACCCTTGAGCTGTGAGATTTTTGGTTTATGAAGTTGTCTAAAAGCTGCCTCTGAGACAGATTGTGTTCCAGGCTCCCATTCTGAACGGGGATTAAAGAAAAATGAAATAACTGTAGATACCCTTCGCTCAGCACTTGAAATCTGTTGGGATGAATATACATGGGGAGCTGTGGGCTTTTGTTTTCCAGGAAAAATTGCCCAGACCCAGTGGTAATTTGAGAAGAGTCTCACTAATATTTATTATCTCGTTGATGCCTCGAAACTAATTTGGGGTTGCACACATCTGAATAAAGACGTCTCTGAACACGAGCATTAATGTTTTCCTGCGCCATGACACCAAAGCCCAAAGCTCCCTGTTCCAGGGGGTTCAGAGCTCTGGGTGCATTTTGTTCCAAACCAGCCTTGTTTAGGGTTTTGCCTCTTCCCACAGTGTGGCTCTGACTGGATGGCTTGGTCAGCTCGGATTTTATGATGATAAAATGCTCTGTGAAGCCACCTAATGGACTCAGGAGCTGCTGGAGCAAAGATCCCCTTTTAGCCTGAAATCTGCTGTTGGTTTGGGTTTTGGTTTTGGTTTTTTTTTTTTTTTAATTGCTTTTTAACATGAGAGGCACTGATCACATGCTGTTCAGAGAGCTGCATGTTTACAGTGATATTCTACATCTAGGAACCGACTCGACAAACCAGGCTCTGGAGAAATAAAGCTTGTTTTAGGTAAAAATAGCAACTTCTGTTGATGTAGAAGTAAGACAGGACTGGTGGGCAAGTTATGTCCTGGTTGTACCTTTTATCTTGTATTTAATGATGTCCTTGTGCAGATTAGAT